TAAACCCCAGTTATTAAGTAAAACTGTCAAGAAAAGATGTCGGAAGTACCCAAACAACATTCTTTTAGTAATGGGTGGCAATAAAAGGGGCAAGTTACCCAGGAGCCTTTCCTGGCGAGTCCCTATCAGCGGTTACCCTAGCGCCTCATTCATCCCTACTCTGGTAGCTTGATCCCAGTTCATCAGTTATCTATTGAGATTACAAGATTCTTCAAAGCAGGAACCTTGTTCCATCTGCCTACGTTTTTATAGGCTTACCACCCTGCGCTACACTTTCTGCCCTCTAGAGGGCATCAAAATGCTGACTGACGGAACAATCCATGAAAAATTCCACGAAACGAGCTTTTCTTTTCATTCAGAAGCACTGATCTATTCTTTTTACTAACAGCAACTGGGAAAGGCTCTCACACTATTATATGACATTTTAAGGTTAATACAGATTTAATAGTTTACAAGGGCAATAATTGAATGACAGCGCAGATTTGTATGGGACCATGGAGGACCCTGAATAGCCAAAACAAAGAACAAAGCTAGAGGCATCACATTTACTTATTTCAAAATACATTTTAAGCTAAATAATCAAAACGGTATGGTACTTGTCTAAAGACACATCAGTGGAGAATAGAGAGCCCAGAAATAAATGCAAATAGCCAAAGTACTCTTCAGCACGGGTCCAAAACTACAGAATGAAGAGAGGGTGTCTCTTGAATAAATGATGATGGGAAATTTCAATATCCACATTCAAAAGAATGAAATTGGACCCTATCTTACACCATAGACGAAACCAACTCAAAATGGATTTAAGATTTAAATGTAAGCCCCTAAACTGTACAACTCCTAGAAGTAAACATAGGGCAAAATCTTCATGACATTGATCTTGGTGATCATTCCATGGATACGATATCAAAAGCACAGCCTACAAAACCAAAATAGATGCATGGGAATTCATCAAACTAAAAAGTTTCTGCACCTCAAAGGAAACAATCAACAAGAGGGAAAAGGCAACTTACAGAATGAGAGAAAATATTTGCAACCTATGTATCTGATAAGGGGTTAGTTTCCAAAATATATAAAGAAATACAACTTAATAGCAAAGAAAGAAAGAAAGAAAAAAGGAAGAAAGAAAAGAAAAGAAAAAGAAAAAAGTAATAACCCACTTTAAGAAAGGGGAAGGACCTCAATAGACATTTCTCCAAAGAAGACACACAATGGCCAGAAGGTATATGAAAAGATGCTTTAGGCCACATTAGTAAATCATCAGGGTAATGTAAATCAAAACCACAATGAGATATAATTTCATATCTAAGGATAACTATTATCAACAGTAAGTGTTGGTGAAGATGTGGAGAAATTTGAACATATACTTTGGTAGGAATGCAAAATGATGCAGTTGCTATGGCAAACAGTATGGATATTCCTCAAAAAATTAAAAATAGAACTACCATATGATTCAGCAATCCCACTTCTGGGTATCAGTCCAAAAGAATTGAAATGAGGATATCAAAGCGATATTAACACTATTAAAAACAGCCAAACCATGGAAACAATCTAAATGTCCATTGACAAGATTAATGGATAAAGTTAATATAGTTTATGTACATACAATGGAATGTTAGTCAGCCTGTAAAAGGGAGTCCTGCAATATGCGACAACATGAATGACCTTAAGGACATTATGCTAAGTGAAATAAGCCAGTCACAGGAGGAAATACTGCATAATTCCACTTATAGGAGATATCTAAAATAGTCCCACCCGTAGGAGCTGAGAACAGAATGGTGGTTTTCAGGAGGGATGAGGACATGGAGAGTTGCTAACTAAGAGATATAAAGCTTCAGTGAAGCAAGATGGGTTCAAGTATGTTAAGCCCTGGGCAGGCGGCTCAGTTGGTTGGAGCATTGTCCCGTGCACCAAAAGGTTGTGGGTTTCATTGCCAGTCAGGGCACACACCTAGGTTGTAGGTTCAGTCCCTGGTTGGAACATGTAGGGGAGGCAACCGATAGATGTCTCTCTTATTGATGTTTCTCTCTCTTTCTCCCCGCCCCCTGCCCAAAATCAATAAACATATCCATCCTTGGGTGAGGATTAAAACAAAAAAAAAGGACATGATGAAGGTAGATATCATGTTAACTGCTCTTAGCACAATGAATAGAAATTTAAAAATTAACCAACCAAAAAAAGCCAGTTGGAGAATCAGATCTGAGATTTAGTGGCCTTAAGCAGTTCTTGGCAAATGACAACGTGTGCGCCTGTGTGGTGATAACCTGTGAGGACAAGGCAATGGAGGTGGCATCGCGATGTCCAAGGAGCTGCTCTACCTTTCAGTGCAGCGATGTACCCACCCAAGACAATGTTCCTAGAGTTCCCAGTTCACTTAGAGCTGCTGTATACAACTGCGTTGTCTAAATTGGAAAAGCAATTACATTGACTTGACTAATGAATAATGATCTCCCTTTCTTTTTCCGTAAGCCTAAAACATAGGGGACATAAAACATTGATAGCCAGAAAATTCACCGCAGGAAAAGAAATACTTGCAAGCTGTACACTCTTCCTATGCTGCCAAATCTATGTGAATGCTGAGGGTATCTGTCTAGGACTTTATTGCTGTGGCATTCACTCCCATATCAGGCGGCCCCTGCCCTTCACTGTGTCCTCCTGCTCCCCTCTGGCACCAGGAGACTGTGATGATCCTTCTGCTCCTCTTGGGTGCTCAGACTCAGCTGCTTGGCTTTCCACTTGCAGTGGCTGGAGCTCAGGCTGGGTTTGACCAGGTGGCTGGGTCTGCATGTTTTTGGAGGCAGAAATAAGCAGTAGTTTTATCTCTATGTTCATTTGTCATTCAAAAATTACTGTATGCCTGCCACGTGCCAGATAACATCTGGGCATAAAGCAAAGGATCTTTCCTTGAAAAGTTCACATTCTGGTGACATAAAATAAAAAATAACAAATCTTGTATATAGCTATAGCGTGGTAATTACTAGGGAAATGCAGAAAAAAATAGCAAAGTAAGGAAATTTGGGAATTACTGGGAAGGCGGGGTGTGAGGGGGAAGGTAGCATTAATGAATGAGGGACAAAGCAGCGTCTCAATGAGAATCTAAGACTTGAAGGGATGAGTGAGTTAACGAGGTTACATGAGCCATAGGTGAAGGTGAGAGAGAGCCAAGTTTGTCAGGTAAAAATGTCCAAGGAAGAACAAGGTGGCCTGTGCCTACGCTGAAGTTACTCCCAAAGAGGAGTCCTTGGCTGAGGCCAAGAAATTTAGAAGGTTTTCCTTCCTCTTGAAGTTAAAAGTATGTCTTTTTTGCATATGTGAAGGGAAGCAGTAGAGGAGCAAGGCTATCTCTGTACAGAATGCCTACCCGTGTTGGCATCCGTAGAATGACTTTTCTCATGGAATTTATTAACTCTGTCATCAGGAGAGGGCTCTATGCCTGAGCTATATGCGCTCAACAACAGATTCTAATTTCAGCAGAGGCAGAACCTTTTGCATAACCTTTTGCATATCAGTTGGTTAGATAAGCCAAAGACGCAGGTTTGTTCCCTGGTCAGGGCACATGCAAGAAGCAACCAATGAATGAATAAATAAGTGAACAACAAATTGATGTTTCTGTCTCTCAAAAGAAAAAAAATCAGTCAATAAAATATTTTTAAGGAGAATCTTTTGCATAAAGGAAACAATAAGTGTTACAGTGCTCGCCAGTGCAGAGGGTACAGGTGCCGCAGGTTTGGGGGGCAACAACCGAGTGCTCTGCCACGGGCTCAAGTCCTGGCCCCGCCACTCATTGCTGTCCTCAAGGCGAGGGCCCTGAAGGGGAGAGGCCCTTAAAGAATAGTTACAGTGGACATCTCTGTGTAGTCGTCTGGTCACTTTTTTAAAATTATGACTTCAAATAAGGCATCAGATTACTAACTACACGTTTTCCAATAGCACCAACAAGATTGTCAAAATTGTCTGAGAGTAAACCACAGGGGACGGGGGGAAATATTCATAGAAATCTAAGAAAATTGCGAATTTTCATTCTTTTCCCCACATACATACACAAGACACTGTGGGTCAGAGTGCTTGCTCGTATGAGCCAGGTGTATACGGGGTTCTTCTCACTTACCAGGCATCCCCACAGCACAGTAGAAGCCCAAGGGTCCCCTGGACACCCCCTACACACACAGATGACACACACTCATTCAGTCACTCAAACACCTGAGCTACTGCCAAGGTCTGGAAACAGCCAAGTGCCCATCAGTAGATGAGCGGATTAAAAAGCTGTGGTACGTTTACACAATGGAATACTATATGACCATTAAAAAAGAAAATCTTATGTTTTGCCATAGACTAAATGGACCTGGAAATTACCATGCTAAGCAAAATAGGCCAGTCAGAGGACAAATAACAGAAGATCTCACTTATATTTGGAATCTACTGAACAAAATAAACTGAGGAACAAAATAGAAACAGAGCCATGGGCACGTGGAATCATCCGACAGCTGCTAGGGGGAGTAGGGTGGGCGGACTGGATGAAAGAAGAAGGGATGAGCCAAAGAACGTGCAATGACCTTTTACAGGCTCTGGACTTCTTTTCCCTGGGTCTGTGTCAAGCGTTTTACCTTCAAAATCGCATTTAGGTCTCGTATCATTCCCATGAGGTAATCATATTATACCCATGGTAAAGATGAGAAAGCTGAGGTTCGGAGAGTGTGCCCCATCATCTCCGGCCACTTCCTTGAGCCTGGCACATAGCAGACATCGAATAAGTGACACTGTCCTTCCAGCCCCACATAAGGGGGGTAGGGCATTGGCGTTGGGCAGGAAGGTGGGGGTCTTTGGGAGGTCGGGGCGGAGGAGGTAAGGCAGAGAGGGCGTGCATTGGATCTCCTAGCGAGGAGGATCTTGGTGCCGGGAACTTGGAAGGCCGGGCAGTGTGTTTCCGGGGGGCGGGGCCAAGCGCGGACAGGTCTTTACGTCACTCGGCGCCCGGCCCCGCCCCACCGCGGCCGAAGCTCGGGAGCCAGGAGAGCAGGCGCCGCCGCCACCGCTGCCGCCGGGAACTCGGAACACCGCGCGCACAGCCATGGCTTCGGGCCCTGCGGGTGAGGGGGCGCGGGGCACGGGGGCGGCGGGAGGGCAGCCCCGATCCCTGCCCCAGCCCGCGGCTTAATAGCCGCTTTCCCGTCTGGTCCCACAGGGGCGGAGACCCGGCAGAGGCTGCTGCGCACCGTCAAGAAGGAGGTAGGTGGTGAGGTGGGGGAGGGGGCGGGGGTCGCAACCTCTGGGGGAGGGGACAGTCGTGGCTCCCCCACCCCAGGAAAGAGCCTCAGAGGTGGGGGTGGTCACTGGTGGAAGCGGGCAGCCACCTTGGTTGCGGGTCTCACCTGGGTGGATACTCACCACCGACAGAACTGAGGCTGGTGAGTTTGGGGGTGCAGGCTCTGGATATTTTTCTGCTGCATGCCAGAGGGGGTGCAGCATGAGGGCCCTCCAGCTGCGGGGCACTCCTCCCTGTGTCTGGGTAGGACCCCCTCTCCTGCAGCAGCCGGTGGGTGGGACTCACTACATTGAGACAAGCACCGGGGGTGGGGGGGGCCGATACGGTGTGGAGGGGGGAACCGGGATGGGGCTGCAGGAGGACTGGACTTCAGGAAAGAGGAAAGATAACCCTTTAGGAAAATAAAGCCTACCCCCACACATCCCCACGCGCCCCCCTTCCGAATTCTCAGCCCTTGGAGCCACCCCAGGAGCCAGGGAACTGCGTTCCTCAGAGTCCCTGGTCAGTGGGTTACACCAATTGTGAGCGTGTGCCCGCACTCTCTTGGCTGGTGGGGCCTCTCTCCCTGGGGCCAGCAGGGAGCCCAGTCTAGGCTTTACAGGTAATAGCCCATGATTTCCTGTAGAGGGGAGAACCTACAGGGATGGGCATCTGGAGAAGCATTTAGGTGCCTGGGCTCTGTGCATGTGTGTGTGAATGCCTGTGTGGGTGAGGGCATGTGGTTGTGAGTGTGTGCATCTGAGGATGTCTGCACATCTGTCTGGAGATATCTCAGTGTTCTCTCTGTGTATTGTGTGTACAGGTGTCTGTGTGTCTCTGTGTTATGATGGGTATCTGTGTGATGCAGGAATCTGTGTGCATGAGTGAGGCTGTGACTGTGTGTGTAACTGTGTGTGTATCCGTGTGTGTGAATGTGTGAATGAGTGAGGCTGTGACTGTGTGTGTATCTGTGTGTGTGAAAGTGTGAGTGAGTGAGGCTGTGACTCTGTGTCCGTGTGTGTGATGTGTGAATGTGTGAGTGAGTGAGGCTGTGACTCCATGTGTCCGTGTGCGTGATGTGTGAATGTGTGAGTGAGTGAGGCTGTGACTCCATGTGTCCGTGTGCGTGATGAGTGAATGTGTGAGTGAGTGAGGCTGTGACTGTGTGTGTATTGCTCTCCTCAGGTCACCCACGTCCCTCAGCCCGGACCCCGCTGCTGCTGAGCCGGCGTCACTGGTGCACCTTGAGTCCTTAGCCTGCAGACCTGGGGGCTGGCCTGATCACTGTGCATCTGTGTCGGGGGGGGGGGTGTCAGGACCTGGTGTCTGCTCTGAACATCAAGAAGCCCCTCCCCGCTTGGTGGCAGACAGCCATCAAGGGCAGCCTCGAGGCTGTGACTTCTTGCTGCCCCACCCACCTCAGGGAGCTTGGGTGTGTGTGGGTGTGTGTGTGTGTACATGTGTGTGTGTGTGATGTGCCCATGTTGTTTCAAGGATCAGCTCCAGGCCTGGTTGCACATTCTGTCCTTTCTGCACAAGGAAACGTACCTGATACATGGAATCCCTCGGAAAGGCCCAGAACTTTTCAGCTCAGCCTTTGTAGAGACCCCTGTGGGGATCTGAAGAAAACCCCATCTAGACCCTCTTTCCAACAAAACCCACTTTCTGATGACTATTTTGGGGGAGAGTGTGTATATATAAGTCCCCCCAACCCCCGACCCTGCTAAAGCCTTTGGGTTAAAAACCTGCAGTCTTTTTGTTCATTGTTTACCCAAATCTGGATGTGATCTGTGCTCCCCAGATGTTTTCACCTGGAATGGCTGTGTTTCTAAGGGGACAGCTGGCTGGTTCCGCTGGGGGGGCGGCAGCAGGCAGAAGAATATGTCAGCAAGGCCTCTGGGCAGGGCCCTGTTCCCAGCTCTGCCACCAGCTCCCTGGATGCCCAGAACACATCCCTTCCCGTCTCCAGGACTCTGTTTTCACATGTGGAGAGGGAAGCTTCGGTGCCCTTGGCAGTCCCACCCCACCTGTCTAGCCTGGGTTGTTGGCCAGGCTGGGGAACACGTTGTCCCTGGTGGCCAGCCGACTGGCCTGCATCCTCTCTCTCCTGGGAGGGGCCAGGTTAGGGGTAGGAATGAGCTTCCTGCGTGGCTCTGGGCAAGGCCATCTGATCAAAGGTAACCCCTGGGTGCCCTGCTTGGTACCTGACGGGGGGCAGGGGCAGAACCTTGCAAGTGTGGACAAAGGGCCTCAAGTACCCATTGCTCCTGGATCTGCAAGCAGAAGGCAAGGCTTCGCAGTCCCAAGATGGTGGCTGTATCTAAATTTTGCACTTGTTAGGGCACATCGTTTCAGTAATCCGAGCTTCCATTTACTAGGGCACGCTCTGTGCCCTATTCTGTGTGCACAGGAACTTCGTGAGGTGAGTGAAGTCCCCATTTACAGACAAGGAAACAGGCTTACGCGGGAAGAGTGAGTCGATCAAGAGCACACAGCCGAGAAGCGACACAGTTGGGGAGTTACCCCCCAGGACTGTCTGACAAGAGCCAGGCTCTTCCCTGCCACACCACAAACATGCCCATCCCCATCTACACAGCGCCATCATTGTGGCATCTGTGGGTGGTGTAATTTCTGTGGTACAGATGAGAAAACTGGCCCAGAAAGAGTAAGCGTTGTTTCAAGGGTACAGACAAGTGAAGGGGAACAAGTTCAAGTCTTCTGACTGTGACCCGTCCTGTTCGGCATGGGTGCCCCATAAGGGCAAAGTGATAAGCTTGTTCCCTCCAAAGCAGCTTTCTCTCCTTCCTCTTCGGGGATCGCCTCCCCTGTGCATCAGAGAGCCAGTCTCCAGTGGAGTGCGTGAAAATCGGGGGGTCAGATCAGTGTTCCTTCTCCTTGCCACCTGGGTTCGGAGGAGCCGCGCCCCTGCTTGTCACAGCCGACCCGGGGGCCCCTCACAGCCTTCTTTCTGACAGAGGCGGCTGACCAGCCGGTTTCAGTATTTAAGCCAGGCAGGTCTACAGGCTTGGCCTGAGCAACGGAGGCCACAAGGCCAGCGGGGGTCGTGGGGCTGGAAGCTCTGTCCAGGGCTGACTCAGGGAGCCTCTGTGACTCAGCACCGCGAAGCAGGTCAAGAAGGAGTTTTGGGATCAATCAGAGCTGAGTTCAAATGCCGGTGCATTTACTTGATGAGGGGCACCTGTGTGCCAGAGGCTGGACCGGGCTCTGTGGATGGAGCAGTGGACAAGTTAGGCCCTGCCCTCTTGGGGCTGACATTCCAGTGCGGGAGACAGACATTCGGAGTGTAATTAAAAAGATAATTACAGGCTGTGCCCCAGGGTCTGAAGGAGAGGCTCTTTGCAGCATAAGAACTCAGAGAAGCAACTGCATGCCGTTGTGTATCGGAAACGTATCTCCTGTGTGAGAAGGTACGGGATGGAGGAGGAGACCTTTTAGATGAAGGTATGAGGTGGGGCGAGATGGAGGAAGACGTTCCTGGCAGTGAGAACCGCGTCTGTATGAACACTGTGGCGGCAGGCAGCACCGTGAACTTGATTGAGGGTTGGGAGCAGCGGGAGCAGGAGGCCGTTCCGAGAGAGAGGAGAGCAGCGCTGGGTACCCTGGGGATAGAGCACCTGGTTCTCCTACACAAGCAGAGGGGAAGGAGTGAGGGGGACCTCAGGAGTAGGAAAGCAAGAGACAGGAGCCGAAATTGATTGCTTGTAAATTGCACAATCTTGGATGAGCAACCCTCTTTACCTTCACAAGTGCCTGGGTTTCAGTTTATTCATAATGGGGATGAAAATTACTCAACTGTCAGGATAAACAATGTGAAAACACCCACCATGTTAGCCGGAGCGTCACCAGCGCAGGCATCTTTCTGTCTCCCTGGTGCCACCAAGGGAAAGCTGCAGTCAGGGTGGCCACACATGGTTCCCTCCGGTTAAATCCGGCCATCTCTATCCAGGCTCCTTCCTGACTCCCTTTACCCTCCCCTCCTTTTCCCTCCCCACCTCCACCACTTAATTTTGTTTTGGTTTCCAGAGAGAGCAGGCACTGGCTTCCCGTTGCCATGACAACATCCATTAAAGGAGCCAGCCACGTGACTTGAGTTGATAAGGGAAGCAAAGTGACTAACTGACTTGTTTTCTTGCCTCTAGGCTGGGCCTAGGAGGCCTGTTAATTGGAGGGGACAAGGCGAGGGGGGGTGAGGGGGCTTGCTGGTGAGGACAGAGCCCAGTGAGGAGGCAAGGGGTTGACGTGGGTGCTGGAGAGGAAGCCACAGGAGCTCTGCAGACTGGAGCTGGTGGGAGGGCTATCGAGGGGGCATTATCCCAAGGGCTGAGCTGGGCTTGTTTGGGCAGCCGAGCCTCCCAGCCCTGCGTGGAAGGCAATGGGATTGGGAAGCCGGCTGCACACGCTAAGAAGTCTGGAGGAAGGTGATAGACACAACTGATGTTACTGCTGGGTCCCCAGTGGTTCTTAATGAAGGTTCTTAACTTTGCCCGTCCCCCCCAGATAGGGTCGCCAAATAACATATAGGTCACACAATTACATTTGAATTTCAGAAAATGAGTCATTTTTAGTGTAAATATGTATTGCTGAGTCTGGCACCTTTATCCCAGGGGACACTTGGCAACGTCTAGAGACATTTTTGGTTGTCACAACTGTGGTTACCACCGGCATCTAGTAGGGAGAGACCAGCGATGCTGCTCCGCCTCCTGCAGCGCATGGACGGCCTCACCACAGAGAAGTAGCCAGAGGGGGAGGAGCCTTTGTGTTGAGCACTGCCCCAGGGCTCCCCAGGCATGTCCTCCTCCGCTCTGAGGACAGCCCTAAGAAGGAGAATGATCTGAGGACAGCCCTAAGAAGGAGAATGATCGTCTCCTTCAGGGGATTGACGAAGATCCAAAGGCCCAAGATGTCAAGCAGCTCACTTTCCTGTTACACAGGCAGTCCGCGGAGAAGTCAGGATTTGATCCCC